GTTCAGAGAGAAATGGCAGCTTCCACAGTAACACATCCCTGCTTCAAACTCCATCATCAACCTAACCTTCTCCTTCGTTACAACCAATCATCTAGCCAAACACTCCTCAGATTCCAATTTTCATCTCCAAAACCTCTCGTGCTCTCCTCACGTGGTAGCTCCCGGCGATTCAAAGTCTTCCCGGAGACCATCACCGTCAAATTGGAAGAAGAGGAGGATACAGCTGCTGATCTTAATCCTCCTGTTGCCATTAACACTAAGCTCTACTTTGGGAACTTGCCTTACAATGTAGACAGTGCAACTCTCGCTCAAATCATCCAAGATTTCGCAAACCCTGAGCTCGTCGAGGTTCTTTACAACAGAGATACAGGACAGAGTCGTGGATTCGCCTTTGTAACAATGAGCAATGTCGAAGATTGTAACATCATTATCGATAACCTCGATGGAACTGTAAGTGAGTTAAAAAAAAAAAGGTTTGAAGCTTTACAAAAGAAAAAACCAAAAAAAAAATCACATTTTCGTTGTTTGGTCTTTCTTTCTTAGGAGTATCTTGGTCGGACTTTGAAGGTGAATTTTGCAGACAAACCAAAGCCTAACAAAGAACCTCTGTATCCAGAGACAGAGCACAAACTGTTTGTTGGTAACTTGTCGTGGACTGTTACTTCGGAGACATTAGCTGGAGCGTTTCGAGAGTGTGGAGATGTGGTTGGTGCTAAAGTTGTGTATGATGGAGATACCGGGAAATCACGGGGTTATGGCTTTGTGTGTTACTCTTCCAAAGAGGAAATGGAGACCGCTCTTGAATCGCTTGATGGATTTGAGCTAGAGGGTCGGGCGATTCGAGTAAACCTGGCTCAAGGAAAGAAATATTGATATCATACAACAACATTGTGGAATCATTTTAAGCTTTTTTTTATATATATTAGAATTATGTTTCAACTGAACTAATTAACTCAAAGATGAATAAATTTTGGTGATGCTTTAAGTAATCAGTACCAGTCCAATTCTTCCAGTCTTTGTCAACATGATCATGTGTCCATTTCAAGACTTCTCGTGCAGCTTGCGGTCCTCCCAGATAATCCCCATTCGTTGAGAGTTTTGATCAAGTGTACCCGGACCTCCATACCCAGTGTGCAAGAATGTCCTGGATTTCACGCAAAGCAAAACTGTAACTATCTGTATCTTTGCCAGAAAATACAACATTAAAATCAATCAGGGCAATAATCGTCTTCCTTCTCTCGATAACAAGAAACCCAAAAAAGATGAGCTAGTTTCTCTGTGAACGGTGTATTGAGGCTCATGCCTCGATAGCTCGTTTTCTCCCATTAGTACAAACCATACTGCTTCTACTGAACTAAACACCTCTTGGAATCAAAATATGTTTTCTGATAGGCAAAACACTTTTTGGCCTTCTTCACAGGTTCAAACCAAAACAGTTACACTCAGAAGCCAGAGAGTTGCACACTTATAGCTATAGCTCAAAGTTTGGTAAGAACAAATAAGCACCAACCAAATTCTCAAAGTTTTATCAATTCTAGTGAAAACATGACATAGTCAACTTATTGCAGGCAAAACTTGTTGATCTTTATAAAACCGTTTCATTACTAGCCTTACCTTGGAGACTAAAATGTTTAGTTAATAATCTAAAGACTTGATTGTCCCCAATACAAAAACACATGACTCAGATTAGGATTCCACATCACAAGACGAATCCATATAAAACCTAGAGACGTAGTGTGTATAAATAAATAAATCTATAATTCACCAAAAGTAACCATCTACATCAGTCTAATCAAATATAAAATCTGAACTTAAAATAAAAGGATACAGAATTGAAAACTCTGAGACATCATCCCTAGTCCCTAGATACATAGAGTCCACATAAAATGTACACATACATGTGTGCATGTCTCATACCTGAGTGCAGATTCCCACAACTTCATCTCTAACTATCACCTAAAAACCATTTTCGTGTATAAGTTTTTTCAGAAAGACGGTCTTTAAATTTCTCCGACTGATGAACAAAAAAAAACCCATCAGTCAATTCAATTCACAGAAAACAACAAAAAACCCCATAATGTTTTATCCAAAATTCAAGAAGGCAAGAACATATGGAAAGCGAGAAAACAGGGGTTTATTTGCATTAGCCAAAAGTTATGGGGTAATGAATTAAAAGAAACAAAAAAGTTGAGGGGCATATAAAAAAAAGGGACCTGTCAGACCGCCGTGCGACCACCCCGGCAAGGATCAGACCGAGCCGAGTAACGATCCTCTACAGCACCGGATGCATCTAAGAGATGATCGGGGCCGTTAATCACGCTCTGATCGCACGGTCATGGTTCATCAACCAGGGTTAAGGGCCTGTCTCCTTAGAAATCAAGGATACAGAGGTACGAGCCTATAGAACTGATCCTGTTCAAGTAAGGTCGTGACCTAAACGAACCTCTCTCTTTTATTTATACAGCACAACTCATCTCCAAATATTCGATGTGGGACAGAAGATAACTTTTTCAACTTCACAGTGCCAATACGTCGTCGTTGTACAGTAAACAAGCTTATAGTGCCCTATACGTCGTCGTTTATACCTCGATGAAGAGACTGAAGCAGAGGTTTTCTTCTCTCATCTCTGAATCTCATTTTGGTTAAACCCTAAACCCTTTTTGGATTAGGTTTTCTCAAATCTTATCCGCCGTGATTTGTTGCACTTGATGAGAGATTTTCCGGTAGGTTTTATTGTCTGAATCCGATGATTCTATCACGCTCTGTCTCTGTGCTTCATTTCTGTGGAGTTTCCTCTGCTCCGAAGCTCTTATCTCGAAAGTTTAAGGTCTCGTTCGCTCTCGCTTATGGTTCTTCTGCGTCGTCGGTTTCTTACCGTTTGGTATCTTTCAATCGATCTGATGGGGAATTGGTTCGTGGGTTTGCGTCTGCTACTGAAGCAGAAGTAGAGAGAAAGGGTAATGATACGTTCTTCGCGGACAATTCTGTTTCGTGGAAGTCTCTTGGGTTGTCGGATAAGGTCTCTGTAGCTCTTCGTGATTCTGGGTTTGATAGACCATCTCTTACTCAGGTAAGTTTTCAAATTTTTGTGTATTTGAAACAAACAACTTAGTGATTGTGAAATGATGAGTTGAAACTTTGCTGCTTTTGTGAAAAATTAAGGATTTTTAATTGAAATCTTGATTCAATTACTGGTCTACTCTCTAGTTTTCATGTAGATAAGTTGTGAAAGAAAATTGAAAGCAAACATTTTTCCTTTCACGGTTTGGTTCTTAAATGTTTAATTGTGAGTCTGATTCTTTACTGTTTTATTACCTGTTAGGCTGTTTGTATCCCGTCTATATTGTCTGGGAAAGATGTTATTGTTGCAGCAGAAACGGGTAGTGGTAAAACACATGGATATCTTGCTCCAATAATCGATCGATTAACCCACACCGCTCTTGATACCGAGCATACGAATGGAGAGGAAAGGCCGATTTCACTAAAGAATATTTCTCTTATTCTGTGTCCAAACGTGATGCTGTGTGAACAAGTGGTTCGGATGGTTAATGGTCTTCTTGGAGAGGATGGTAATCCACTTCTCAGAGTTGAAGCTGTTTGCGGGTCACAGGTAACAATTTCGTGTCTTTATGTACTTCACTTGATAAGTCTAATCAGTCTTTGATACCTATGTTTTATTTGATATGAGCTCTGTTTCGTTGTAACCGTTTGGATTTGTTGCTGCTGCAGGGTTGGCCAGATAAACAGCCTGATATAATTGTTTCGACACCCGCTGCTCTTCTGAATAATATTGAGCCAAAAAGAAATAGGCGTGTGGAATTTCTTCGATCTGTCAAATACGTGGTATGGTTTCTTGTCAAGAGTTGTATTGTATTGCGTTCTGAGCACTTTTGAAATTGAAGATTTCGTGTTGAATATTTGGATCACTTGCAGGTCTTTGATGAAGCCGATATGCTTCTGTGTGGAAGCTTCCAGAATCAGATTACCCGTCTCATAAACATGCTGCGTTTCGATGAGAAACAAGTGTCTCGTTTGGCTACATCTAATGTTGGCAAACCCATGGAGATTGATGCCTCTTTAGCCCAACTGGATCTA